AGAAGGACAGTTTATTGTTCCGTGGCCAGAAAATAAATATTCCTTGAATTGATAAATGATTATATTGTCTGCTCGGTGGACGGACAGATCAAATAATTGTAATATTGATTCTGCTACAGTTAATTCGAAGATATAATCTAAATATTTATTATGAATCATAACCAGTTATAATTCGTCATAAATATTCCCCTTTTTAGAGCTAATAAATAATAATAAACGTTACAGTGTAATGAAATGTGTTTATGCGGTTTAAGGTTCAAAAAACACATTATTTTCCACATACTGTACATTATTGTTTCTCCTCTATGCCCCGCCTTTCTGAAACACATTGATTTTTACAAAGCTCATCGGTCTGAAAAAGCGAGGTGTGCTGTGATTGGCCAGCTATCCAGTGCGTTGTGATTGGCCGAATACCTCAACCTTATTGTGATGCCTTGTCCGGCCGGAGCGATGATTCAAAAACATGAAAACCCATTATAAACGAGGCATTCGTTGCATCCAGTGGGGACATAATTATGGATTATAATGACTTATACTGTCTTTTTACGCATTGCGTTGCATCGCGCCGCATAAACATAAAACCATGTCTGCATTTGTGATCGGAGAAACGACAAACAACAAGCCCTACTCGACACTGCCCAAAAAACTTGCTTTTAATATATAAAATATAAAAACTCTTTAAATATAAAAAACTTACTTACAGTCTTTGAGTCAGAACAGCCCTCTATCATCCTCTTTTGAAAGACCAAACAAAGTAGCTTTCACAACGAAGCACACAGCTCTTCACGACATGGCGGCGGCAACAACAATACTACAGCGAGAATAAAAGTTACGCCTTCTTTCTTTGCGTGAACATTTGGGCGGCGTTATGCAAATCTTCCCACATTGTGACGTAGACATGTGGGGGCGTGTTAGAATGAGCCGTTTTAGGCAGGTGTGGTTGACTCTTAACTTTTATAAAGAATATCTCTTTGGATTTGAGATTTTAGTCTTTGCAACTTTACAGATCTTCTTTATGCACCAAGAGCTTGTAACACCCAAAGAGAAAGGAAAAATTGAAATCGCATCATATGACCCCGTTAAAGAAACAGTCTATCTATCTATCTAGATTTATTTATTTTGCAAAATATAATAAAAACAGTAATATTGTGAAATTCCATTTAAGTTCAATTTAGAATTGTATGATAATATACCTGTTTTCTGTAATATATTACAATGTAATTAAAAAGAACAGCAGTTATTCAAAATAGAAATCTCTTGTAACATTATAAATGTCTTTACTGTCATTTTTGATCAATTTAATGCTTTCTTGCTGAACAAAAGAATTAATAAAAAAAAAACAATCTTACTGACCTGAACGTTTCAACAGTCTGAGGAGAAAAAATAGTTTCTTTAGCAAATAATGAATATTTTCTTTTTTGAATGTTGATACTACGATAATTTGTACCATATTTATAAATATTTACATGATACATGGTACCTTTTTGCAAGTGTAATGGACTATTGATATCACTCTGTTCCTGGGATCTCATAAAAAACACTTAAAATACACACACACACACAAGAAAAGAAAAACACATGAGCAGGACAATCAACTGGTTGCAACGCTTTAAAGTTTTCAGTACTAAGAGAAGTTAGCAGTGGTTTTGTAATTCTCTCCATGTCTCTGACTGTATTTCTTTCTGTTTTTCTTCTGTCTCCGTTTCTCTCTGTTTGTTTTTCTCCTCAGCCCTCCTGAAGGAGAAGAATCACCCGTCACCTCTCCAGACCCCCAGAGACAAGAGTGGTTCGCTCAGTATTTCTCCTTCTGACTTTTGCGATTAAAGAGCATGTCGACCAAACCAGACAAAAAAGTGATATATTATTTACCCGACACATCCTTTCATTTGTTCTTTTTTTCTCCCCACTGTGAATGGGTTTGTTGTTTTCACAGTGATGATAGGTATGTTTGACGTTTCATTTACTGCCGTTTCTATAGAGTGATGCATACGCTGCTAATTACTATTTGTTAAAAGAGAAAAAAAACAACAGTATTGTCTCCTCTGTATCTAATTTTAGAATGCCACCGTAATGACTTTGTTACAGCTGCATTATCAATTTTGGTAGGATTAAACTGTTTGTATGGATGTCTCAACACAGATATAATGATGTCTCACTAATTTTAAAATAAATGCATATTTTATATTTATATTACTGGTGTATGCGTAAGAATAAATAATTGTGACATTTAATGAAGTGTGTCTGTTATGTGAGTCAACTTTTACCATTCAAGGAACCAAAAGCAAAGAACATTTGATTTAAAATGCCTGTATTTTCATATACATCAACACATATTGCTCTGAAACAAGGAAAAATAAACACTTTTATTGTCATTTGACTTTTTCTTTATATAAGAACAATAACCCTAATAATGACAAATCGTTAATTGGAGATTAGAGGTGAGTTTATGTGCTGTTGTTTTATATATATATATATATATGTATGTATATACAGTGGGTACGGAAAGTATTCAGACCCCCTTAAATTTTTCACTGTTATATTGCAGCCATTTGCTAAAATCATTTAAGTTCATTTTTTTTCCTCATTAATGTACACACAGCACCCCATATTGACAGAAAAACACAGAATTGTTGACATTTTTGCAGATTTATTAAAAAAGAAAAACTGAAATATCACATGGTCCTAAGTATTCAGACCCTTTGCTCAGTATTTAGTAGAAGCACCCTTTTGATCGAATACAGCCATGAGTCTTTTTGGGAAAGACCCAACAAGTGTATTGGACAGGTGATGAGCAGTGCCTGGTTTTCTCCATACATACCGCTTAGAATTAAGGCCAAAAAGTTCTATCTTGGCCTCATCCGACCAGAGAATCTTATTTCTCACCATCTTGGAGTCCTTCAGGTGTTTTTTCATGTGTCTTGCACTGAGGAGAGGCTTCCGTCGGGCCACTCTGCCATAAAGCCCCGACTGGTGGAGGGCTGCAGTGATGGTTGACTTTCTACAACTTTCTCCCATCTCCCGACTGCATCTCTGGAGCTCAGCCACAGTGATCTTTGGGTTCTTCTTTACCTCTCTCACCAAGGCTCTTGTCCCCTGATAGCTCAGTTTGGCCGGACGGCCAGCTCTAGGAAGGGTTCTGGTCGTCCCAAACGTCTTCCATTTAAGGAATGGAGGCCACTGTGCTCTTGGGAACCTTAAGTGCAGCAGAATTTTTTTTGTAACCTTGGCCAGATCTGTGGCTTGCCACAATTCTGTCTCTGAGCTCTTCAGGCAGTTCCTTTGACCTCATGATTCTCATTTGCTCTGACATGCACTGTGAGCGGTAATGTCTTATATAGACAGGTGTGTGGCTTTCCTAATCAAGTCCAATCAGTATAATCAAACACAGCTGGACTCAAATGAAGGTGTAGAACCATCTCAAGGATGATCAGAAGAAATGGACAGCACCTGAGTTAAATATATGAGTGTCACAGCAAAGGGTCTGAATACTTAGGACCATGTGATATTTCAGTTTTTCTTTTTTAATAAATCTGCAAAAATGTCAACAATTCTGTGTTTTTCTGTCAATATGGTGTGCTGTGTGTACATTAATGAGGAAAAAAATTAACTTAAATGATTTTAGCAAATGGGTGCAATATAACAAAGAGTGAAAAATTTAAGGGGGTCTGAATACTTTCCATACCCACTGTATATGTATGTATATATATATATGTATATGTATGTATATATGTATATGTGTGTATATATGTGTATATATACACACATATACATATGTGTGTATATATACACATATATACACACATATACATATATGTGTGTGTGTGTGTGTGTATATGTGTATATATATGTATATGTCTGTGTGTGTGTGTGTGTGTGTATAAAATGTTTATGATGTGCAGAATGGAACATATGAGAGATCAAAGGCTGTTATTAAAATAAAAATAAAAATAAAATATATATATATATTTTTTATTGCATACATTTGAATGTATAGTAATAATTTAAATATATAATTATTTTTGCAGTACCATTTCATTTATTTAAAAGGGATGTATATAAGTTAAGTAAATATATTATAAACACTTAAACACTTTGTTTAAGATTATCAAAAAACATTTAAAAAGTATACATTCATCGTATTCATGCATCTTATTACAGCTTCCTTATTACAAGAGTCAGAAATCAAATACATAGTTTTAAGTCTTCACGGAAAATGCAAAAGAGAGGTTTACGCTTACAAAATTAACATGTATGTGTAAAATATTTAGCCAGGAACAAATAAGGTTGAATATAAAAAAACGGGACTTTTATACTGGCGGTCAAAGGGCGGATGCGACAACGTCATCGACCTCCTCATGGCACGTTTTCCGTTCACTGGGTTCTACCAAGTCCAGAAACGGGGGAGCTAGTATTTATCACATACCCAATAATTTGTCTGCGCTAAAATATACACAAAAATAACAAAGTAAACAAAGCATAAGACAGTGAAACTACTTTTATAGTATTATGCATGGCTTAGAATGAGTTATCTTTTGGTAGAATTCAAAGTTTGTTTACACGTGCTCCCCTACAGTGCAGAAAGATTAGGAATAAAGCGCCAAATCTGAAAACACGGACAGGAAGAAACACCCGTATGTGAATGTTGTTAGTGTAGGCTATATAACTACTGCTCATCCATCCAGGTATGTCAAATACTGAACTGTAGGGAAGGGGATATTAATAGGTTATTTTGTTGTACTTGTAGGTTGATACTGTTTGCACAATTTTGCTGAAGAGAGTAATGAGCGCAAAAGAAATGGTTTGAACGCTTGCTGAATGCGTGTTATACCAAGACCACGTGAGCTGTCAAACAGCGGCGTCCTAAAACTTTCTTCTAAAGTAGTTCTTGTATAATTATTATTCAAGCAATTTTATGAGCTCGAGAGAATGCATGAAACATTTGTGGTTTCATAAAATACTTTGTCAAGTGCAAAAAAAAAGAAAGAAGAAGATTAACTGGGCTTTTAAAAAAAGGTGATAAAAAGTGTAAGGGTTATCATTATCTCTATGATTATTTATTTCTTTATTATATTTCTTTATTTTAATTATAAGAGAAGTAATCTAGTTTCGCTCTACTTGCATAATGTTTGAATCATGTCTTTTAAGAATTTTCAAAACGTAAAGATGTTGAGTAAATGTAATAGAAATTAAAATAGAAAACATCATGTAACTTTTAATTCATTTCATTCATACTTTTGTTTTGAATGAACATGAACTACAGATCACTTATGATCAGTTATGATTATATAATTATTCATGATATTCCCATCTTTATGAAAAACCTTGAAATATTTGGGATAAATTGTGCGAGGAAGTTTTTTAGTCAATATGTCTTTCTAAAGTTGATTCATTCAATTACTTTTACAAAACTGGCTGGTCTAGTAATCACAAATGACTTGAAAGGTCATACATTTGTCAAAAGGTGTGGAAACCATGAATCAATCACTTAAAATAATTAAAAAGGTAAAAAGTTTTTATAAATTCATTTAAAATACATTAAAAACACTCTCCGTTTACTATGTGAGTGACATTTGGCCAAGTATGGACCCATACTCGGAATTAGTGCTCTACATTTATCCCATCCAAAGTGCACACACACAGCAGTGAACACACACACGCAGTGAACACGCACACACACACACAGAGCAGTGAACACACACACACACACACACACACACACAGACAGACAGACACAGCAGTGAACACGAAAACACACCCGGAGCAGTGTGCAGCCATATTTTGCTGAGCAGTTGGGGGTTCGGTGCCTTGCTCAAGGGCACCTCAGTCGTGGTATTGAAGGTGGGGCGACAATCTCTAACCATTAGGCCGCGACTTCCCCTTATGATACAAGTGTATGAGTATGTAAGGTTTTGAAAAGATGAACTACGATTTATGTACAGACCATCATCCATTGCTCTCTTGCAGAATACTTCATGTCTAAGTGGTCTGGTTCAGTCTTCAGATGAACGTGATGCTCAGTCAGGATCAGGTGTCTTTCATAGGACTGGCGTTTGAGACTTATGTGATGGAGCACCACAAGAATGACATCCTACAGATCTTCCAGGAGGCCAGTGAAGATGCTCACTATCCTGTTGTAGTGAATGCCATGACCTTATTCGAGGACAATATGGAGGTTGGAGAGTGTTTCAATGCATTCCCCAGCCAGGTGCTGCCTGTGTTTGACAATGCCCTGCACAGAGTAGCCCAGACCATATCTCGGTCTTCTTCCTCACCACAGGAGAGATTCAAACTCAAACACAATCTGCATGTTCGTATATCAGGTAAGCATGTATAAGAGTGTCCACTCTTTTACACTGACACCTGTATCAGGACTCAACAACCAAGATTTTATATGGTTTCAATTTGTGCAACTTCCAGACCAGCCTGACACAACAACCAATAACATAAACTTGGGAATTCTTTGAAAAACCTGTTTAGGAAATCATTTTTTCTGTTAGCTAGTGGTGCAGAAATTACACACTTAAACGTCAAATTATTTTGGGAAAAATACAAGGGTACAAAAAATACAAAAATACTTTTTTGTACAACATATTCCAAATCAACATTAAAAGAGAAAATAGAGTAGAATAATAATAGAACAAATAATCAGTAACACTTTACAATGACTATAATAACAATTTTATTTTTCAGTTTTATAAATGTATTATATTAATTTGTTTTAGTTGTAAATAAATTAATTTCTACTGTCAACTAATCTTGTTGAATCACATCTTTCATTAATTAGTTAAAAAATATTATTTCATTTATATATAATTGCTGCCTTATAAAAAATGCTTATAAATTATCATGTTTGTGTGTATATATATATATATATATATATATATATATATA